ACAAGGGCCAGAGTCTGTCCCGAGAGCCTGCAGCAGAGATGAGCCTGAATTGGCAGGTCAGGGGATCCCTGCTAGGAAGAGCACAGGGATGGAAATGGGCAGGGAGTTTCAAAGATAGGCAGGACATGAGGATCACCTAGATCTCAGGATGACAGATCACCTAGATTATCTCATGCATACAGAGTATTCTTCACTTCCAGAATCCCTGATATATAAGGTTTTTCTTTGAATCTATGCACAGTGACCTGGCATCTCTCTCATGTGGGAATAAATTAAGACCTATTCATTTCTGTTGTCATGGTTGTCCCTATATGCATTACACCACCTATCAAATTGAGTTTGCAGTCTTATTCAGCCTCTGTTTAATACATGTGGCTTTACACACACACACATGTGTTTTCCCATATTTATTTTGCAAAATAATTTTATGAGTCTGTGACTGTAGCTGAATGATGAAGCTAAAGGAAAAATATGGACTGTATAAGTTGAATGAAAGCAGAATTTTGACAGAGGCCTATGAAGATATTTTAGGCCTATAAGGAAGCAGTGTAGTGCAGTGGGTAAAGCACTACATAGACTTCAGTCCTAGCCCTGTCACTTGCAAGCTGTAGCCTTAAGCAAGTCATTTCTCTTTCATAAGGCTCAGTTATTTTATTGGTAAATTTTAGTACTAATGCTTTACTCAGAGGAACTCTTGAAAGTTACATGATTTAATGTTTGTAAAAAAAAAAATTAGTATAATACCCCACACATAAGGATATACTCAATACTATGGATTTCAATCTGAATTGTGTTTTTAGCTTATTTTGGGAATAGTTAGTGTCATTGATTTCACTTTTTTGCTGTTGTTCAACCAAATGTGAGTCTTCCAAGGAATGAAGTTAGAATGCCTCTAGTACATGAGTGTAAGGATAGTGTGTTTGCATGCTTTGTTTGATTTGGAATTTTAAAGCTCAGTTGGGAATTAAGGTAAGCACAAGGATGGAGCTATTAAGGAAACTGGAAAGGAACAGACAGTCCTGGAATGTGGCAGCTCCTGTTTGATTTTAAATGTAAGTTAAATATTAATTTTTCTAAAAACAACTCTCCCTCCAGGGAGGGCTTTCTCTCTTGCTCTCTTATGTTGACAGATTGTTGGTAGCTTGCCTTTCACACTAACTCATTTAGATAAAAAAAATGTCTTAAGATGATCCTATTTGCGTAAGAAAAAAAATCTTCAAAACAACTCCCTTGTCGCCAGCATCAACAGCAGCTGAACACGGGTTGGGTTGTTGCACAGTGAGAATTATTCCTTTCATTTCAAAGAAATCAAAGATGCTTGGGGCAAGCAAGAGAGCCCTGGTTACACATGATCAAAATAAACGGACATCAGATTTGCTTATGGAAAGTGTTGATTAAGTCTACTTACTGCTGAAGTCTGAGGATACTTTTAATTGTTCCAAAAGGATTCTGTAGGAAGAAGAAAAGTCAGCCTTAAAAAAAGTAAGCTGATTTGGGGGAAATAAGAAGCATTTAAAGATCTTCTCTGAATTCCTTCCTGCTAATGGTTCCCTAAAACAAGCTGGTGCAATGATGCTGTTGACTTGTAAACAGAAGTCAAAAGGAAATTCAAACTTCTGTCAAGATTCATTCCAAATATAATAAACAAGGAAGTGATTGAATCTCTTTTAAAGTTTTTGGATGGACTTTCTTGTGCTTTGGCTGTTCTTTGAATTTGAAAGAATTAGGAAACAAAAGCAAAATCTCAGGCTCCTAATTCATACCTAGTTTAGCAGAAATTTCAACATTTTGTTTCCAATAGCTCCTGTTTCCAAATCATAAATTCATTCTTTTTTTTTTTACTGTAATGCATTTTTTGTCTTTTTTTAAAAAAAGAATTCTTAAAAATACTATCACCCATCTCTTCTCGGCCTTTTGGCTAAGATCAAGTGTAATAAAAATACTATCACCTAGTGCTCCATGACAGTTAGCACATATGTTTTGTATTATGCTATATAAAATTAAGCATCCTACTCATGCTACTGCCTTTCTATTTGACCTGTGGGCCTAAGTTTCCTCATTTATAAATAAGAGAATTGGAATAAAGCTTGCAGTACTCAAATTATGCTCTGTCCCAGGGTTCCTCAAGTTTGGCCCTATTGACACTTTAGGCTGAATAATTCTTTCCTGTAGGAGGCTGTCCTGTGCATTGTAGGCTGGTTAGCATTATCTCTGCCTTCTACTCACTAGACACCAATGGTATGAATGTTCCCTCCCCAGTTGTGACAACCAAAATGTCTGCAGACATTGTCAAATGTCCCAGGTCCAGAATCACCCCTTGTGGTCAACTATCACTTTAACTAAAGCATTGATTCTCAAACTTTGATTGCTATCAGAATCCCTTGAGAACTTAGTAATAACATAAAGGCACAGACTTCATTCTACTGCAAAAAGCTAGAGCCTCTGTTTTTTAATTAGCTTCTTGATTACACAAAAATGATTGAGAACCACTGTTCATAGGGGATTGGATAATGAAGTATGGCTCCTGCACCAAGAGCTTCAGTATCCTCAAAGAACTATTAATAGTTCTAATAGTTAGAAATGCAAACTTGGGGGCTCTCTGCCAGATATAGTGTATCAGGAACTCTGAGATGGGAGCCAGTTAATTGTCTGAGAAATGGACCAGCTTGATACACTCAGCAAGAAGTTCAGGAATTCAAGAGACCCATGGATGACTGTCTCATCCAACATAGAGTAGGCACCAGTGGGCAGAGCACGACTTTGAATCAACTTCTTTACACTGAGTGGCTCTTATCACCATATGGTCATGCCATTTTTGTCCTGATCCAGCCTTAAAAGGCAGATCAGATTGGTTTTCTTGCGGAGGGGGGATGTGTGAGGGATTGCACTAATCCTTGTCTACTCCTGTCTCTCTGATTCATGAATCCCGCATAGCACCTGGCACCCCGAACTCATAGACTTACCATTTGGGCTATGGCATTGACTCTAGATTAGTGATTCTCAACCTTGACTTCATATTAGAATAACCTGGGAAATTTTCAAAAGTCCCAAAGTTCAGTGCATACTTCAGACCAATTAAACTAGAATCTCTCAGAGTGGAACCAGACAGCAATATTTTAACTTCCTCAGGTGACTCCAATATTTAGGCAAATTTAAAATGTCAGTTGAACAGTTTTTCTGACATTAAGTAGGGTAGGGATTGTTTAGATGGAAATAAGGTAGTAGGAAATGGAAAAGGCTAGAAAGGACCTGGTCAGTTTGACAATCAACACACTGATGTGGTTGCAGACGATAGGCTTTTGACTCTGTGCAATGCCTATTTTTTTCCCACATTTTCCGAGATCCCTCCAGCTAGAAGCCATCTTTGTAGTCTCTTTGCAGAAGCCTCTTTGCAGTGCAGTCTTCCCATAGCATTTTGAATTTAATCTAACCACATTCTACTTTGTGGTATAGTCTTACACATCTTGTTTGTCTCCCATACAACACTGTGAGTTCTCCAGATATAAGGACTCTGGGTTTTTCATCTCTTTCACCCAGAATACATACACTGGGAGTAGGCATCTGATGATATGAATTTAATTGAAATATATTAAGTGATGTAGAAATGTCACCAAGTATAGAGATAGAACATTGCGAAGCATCCCAGCACTTTACATTCAGTCCCAGAACAGGAGTTCTTATCCTAATGTGCTTCAAAACCTTCCACAAGTGGATTGACAAACTCTGGACTCTAAAGTCTTTATCTGAAAACAGAGATAATCCCTAGAGTAAAAGCCTGGGCAGATGACACAAGTGCTAATTCTGGAACATTGACCATCCAAGACGTTCAGTGCAAAACTCGAGTTTTTCATTAGTTATATGAGCCAAATTAGTTAGGTTTGGTGAAAAACATGAAAGCATGATTCTTCAGGGTCCCCTGGAGTTACACAGCCAGGATTATTCGTAGCCTAAGTGGTCAAATTCAACAAAAAGAATGGAGGAATGAGAATGAATTTCTGGCAACCTCATTAGCATAGTGGCGATTTTACACAAAAACCTTCTTTGGAAAACTTATATATCAGCCAGGTATACATATGTTTCTTTCCCATCACCCTTCCCTCAGCATGCCAGTGGCCAAAAGACTTGGTGAAATGCCCACAGGGCTTCCAGGGGGCAGGCTGGAGTCCAGGGTCTAGCAGCGTAAGCTTGTAGGCACCCATGTGAGAGTGTAGAGCCAAGGAGCAAGAAAGTGGGGAACACCTTGGCCAAGAAAGTATTTATGACAGAGGAAAAGGGGGGGAACAGGAAAGCCTCGGGCTAGTCCCTTGGAGTCTGGCAGCCATTTCTGTCCGCTTTCCCATTCCTAGATGGATGCTCATTGCTTAACTCCTGTGGGTACTGGATTTATTAAATTGCCTCTTTGTTCAACTCTTACAATAACAAGAATTTATATCGGAATACCATTGGATGTGTTAGGATTTTTGCCTGTATAAGAGCTGAGGAAACTGAGGCTTAGTTGCCAAGGTCACACAGCGGGTAAACTGACAAAGGCAGAACATAAACACAGCTCCTCCCTTCTCCAACAGTGCTCTGGGCCCTGCAATAGCACTGTCTGCACAGGGGGGAAAAAAAGGCTATTTATTGTTCTTCCTGTACCCCAGTCCTCTGCTCCAATGCACGGACACACATAACCACACGAAGTGGAATGAAAAGGCAAGGGAGAGACCATTCCCAGGGACAGCAGCAGTAAGCTCTGATTACAAAGGCCTGCGGTTGAGTCCTTCCTTTGCGCCCCTCACCTCTAAACTTGTGCAAATCCCTTTTCTTCTCAAACCTCCACGTCTGGACCTATAGGGCCTGTAGTGCTTCACTCACAGTCTGAGATGCAGCTTCAGGTTTCATCTGAAGGTGAAGGACTCTGCAAACTGCGAGGTCATGTATAGATTACAGAAAACGATTAAAGCTCTAACCTCGCTACGCTGGATTTTCTTCATCTTCAAAAATGACATTAATGATATCCACTTCTGTATCCTAAAAGGCAACACACAGGTAAAGCTCCTTGCCCCAGTCGGCCTCAAGTGGCGCTAGCTCTCCAGCTGGCACTCGAGTGTGTGGCCCCTGGCAGTCCCGGTGCTGCAGCGGGGAGCCTGGGTGAACGCTCGCAGAGGCTCGGGCAGCAGGAGGAGCGTGTGAGCTGTGGGCGTCCCTTTAAGAGTTGCTGGCCAGGCAAGGCCTCCGCCTCTCAGTGCGCAGAGAGGCGGCGGTCACCTGGGGCTCGTGAGGCAGCCAGATTGCAGCGGGGTCGGCGGTCTTGTCGGCGTGAAGGTGGGAGAGGGGGCTCGAACGTGAGGTGCCCGGAGCCCTCACGGAGCGTGGCGGTCCCGCGCTCCTCTGCGGCGGAGGATGCGGGAGCGCATCTGGGCGCCGCTGCTGCTCCTGCTCCTGCCGCCGCCACTGTGGGGCGGCCCCCCGGACAGCCAGCGCCAGCAGCTGGAGCCTGAGCCCGGGCCTCTACAGCCCTTCGACCTGCTCTACGCCAGCGGCGTGGCCGCCTACTACAGCGGGGACTACGAGCAGGCAGTGCGGGACTTGGAAGCGGCGCTGCGCAGCCACCGGCGCCGGCGGGACATCCGCACGCGCTGCGCCCGCCACTGTGCCGCGCGCCACCCGCTCGCGCCCCCCGGCGCCGGCCCCGGGGCCGAGCTGCCCTTTTTCCGCGCCTTGTTGGAGCGGGCGCGCTGTTACCGCAGCTGTGAGACCCAGCGCCTCGGGGGACCCTCGTCCCGCCACCGCATTAGCGAGGATGTGCGCAGCGACTTCCAGCGCAGAGTGCCCTACAACTACCTGCAGCGGTCCTACATCAAGGTACCCAGAGCTCGGGCTTTTCCACACCCAACGCCCCCTGCGGCTCTCAGATGCTCTCTTGAGCCCTCCCTGCTGCTCCTGTCATCTTGCCATGGCAGTGTCCTTCAGTCTTTCATATGGGGTCTCCTTAAACATTTCCGCCTCATGTTTGTGAATCCAGGTATCTGGTGGCCCTAGCTCTGTAACCAAAAATTGATGAATTTGGGCAAGTCCTTCTCTCTCTCTCTCTCCTCCCATCAATTTCTCTCAGAAACAGGGCAATGCTGTTAAGATGATGTTTAATGTACACATTAAGCACTAATTCATGAGGCTTTTCTAGTACCAGCTGTCTTCTCCCTTCACTTCTTGGTATGGCCCTATATCCTCATTTCTCTTCTGTCTTCCCTCCTACACTGTAGTCTGCACCTTTTCTCCAACGTTTAAAAGAAAACATCCTGAAAGTAACAGAGTTAAAAGTAGACCTCTTCTGAAACAAATTTGCTTCTCTATCTTCTCCCCTTCACTTACAAAAAAAGTAAAGGTCAAAGGTTAAAGAGAAGGTATGCTTGGGGTGGGGTAAAGCTGTGGGAGATAGTCTCACTAAAAGGATTGACCCAAAATGCTGATGCTTTCTGCTTGAGAGGACTTCCAATTTCTGGTGGTAAACATTGGACTGGGTTATTGGACATCAGATTCCCAGTGCTTTCCTTATTTTTGTCTACTCAACCTGTCTGAAGTTATTGTCAGGAGGTATACTGCTTTCCTTATTTTTGTGTACTTAACCTGTCTGCAGTTATTGTCAGGAGGCATACTGCAGTGTTTATTGATATATATCCCACATTTGTAATTTTGAAGATCTATCTGGATGTTTCAACAGAGGGAATTTAGAATGAATTCCTCAACCCCCATTCCCACTCCACCAATGTTGCTCTGAATTTACACTCTCCCTCCCCCATCACTTTCTGTTTTCTGTGTCAATATATCCAATTTCTCTTCTACAGCTGTTGGAGAAGTGGCAACTCAGGGGGTTGATTGGTCGTGCCAGCCAATGGACCAGGCTGCATTTCTGGGGAAATGAAAATAAAACACACACCATGTTCAAATATTCAAATGCCTTTTGCAGCCCATCCCACAAGATCTCTGTCCTCACAAGTGATAAAGTTATCTCAGATTCACGACTGTTGATAAAGTTCATGAAATCCCAACTGAGACTAACTCTTATTTCCCAGTGTATTCTGGCTAAGGTGCTGAAGCTCACAAGAGTAGTATTTTGGACAAGAAATGGGCAGCAAACCTGAATCTTTTCCAGGACTTGTGTTCCACTTGCTTGTGTTTCCTGATGGATTTGCTAAGGCAGGCATTATGTATATACTCTCATTTCTTTTAAGTGAGTGACACAGCTTTTCATGGTCTTACAGAAATCAGTCAATACTGGTTAGAGAGGGGACCTTAAGTGCATGACAGTGAAGATATTCTAAGTTAGTTCCCAGAGCAGAACATGGGTGGTCTCTGTAGCCCTGTCCCTGTAGAACGGCTCTCCCAGGAGTTTCAGATGTGAGGTTGGCAGTCCTGCTGATAGTTCTGTCACACATCTTGGACAGATTTTCCTTTCCCAGATCTGGAGAAGGAATGCACATTCATGCTCAGTCCTATAAAAATAAATAACCATGAGATAACTTTCAATATGTGGGTTTCCTGGGTTCTGTAATAATGTGTGCTTCACTGTTAATGTTAGCACTTATCAGTCATGCTCCTGTCCCTTGGTTGGAGGTAAAAGAAGGTAAAGCCATAGTTTTAACATACCTCACATTTTTGCAGTGAATTGATTGCAGGAACAAGTCACATTCTGGAAGTGAATTACTGGGTGTTGTCTGATGAATTAATGAAGTTTAAGAAGTTCTTTCAAAAATGTGTGCCTTCATGTGTTAATTTCTTTTCTACCAGCAATGTGTATGAGAGCAGAACAGGTCTTGTGTCTTCTCCCTACTTCACCTTTGCTCTGACAGGCAGAGCTTTTGGGGTCTACATGATTGATAATCTCTTAAGAAGAAAATATTTTTACCCCTTTGGAAATTCATTTTTGATGGTTGGAGTTTGTGACTATCTGAAATATACACTGTGGTTCTTCCCTTTCCTCTGCTCACCAACCCCCAAGAACTCCACAATTTTAGCCTTTGTTTGGCTTCCTTGGAATTTCACTTATAAACACACACACACACACATACACACCATCTTTTGACACTAAAGCAAAATTCGCAAATAATAAAAGAACATCTTCGAGCTCTGACAGGTCTGGATTTTGGGGTGTTTGTTTTCTGATGATAAGATGAAGAGCTCCCTGCCTGTGCCTGGATATGCTCAGGGAGCCCTGTATCATTGAATTACTTTAGACATCAGTGATCCAGTTTGCTTTTGAAAGGCTAATCCTAGGACAGATCAAATTCATTGAGGACTGGAAGCCTTCCTAGAGCTAAGGAAGTAGCTCAATATTCTCAGCCAGGAGATTTACAAACTACAGATGCTCTCAGATGTTGCTTTCCCCAAAAATCCCAGTTAGTGAGCCACTGCCCCTGGGAAGCAGATCCTTTACGCTGGTGTGTTGGAGGGGAAGAAGGACTGAGAATGGTGAAATCTGAGACCTGTTGAGTTCACTTTCTTGTTTCACAGATGAGGAAAGGGGGATCTAGAAAGGCAGAGAAGTTTACTCAGTGTCACATATTTAGTGGCATACCAACATGATTTGATGAAATGAGCATAGCATTGAAAATTGAAAGTCTAGGTTTGCCAGTAATTGATTCTTTATGCCTGTGCTCTGCCCACTGACCCGTGGGGTCACCTGTGGTCTCAGAGAGTGTTATATTCCCCAGGGCTATCCTTATGCCAGGTTTGGACAGCTCCAGGGATGGGTAGGTCCTTGTTCTGTATATACTTACTGCATTTATCTGTAGGCCTGCTCTGTAGAATCTTCCTAAAGGCCTGGCATGTTGGGAATTTGTCTGGACAGCTATGAGGCAGTAGCTCCACCTGGCTTCTAGCCACACTTTTTGCTTAAAGGCATCATGAGACTATTCAAACTTTTGATTTTTAGCATTTAAGATTATAAGATATAAGTCATTATTCATAGCCTAAAACCTAAAATACACCTTTAATCATGACATTCTCTGAAATCTTTGGCAATTTCCCCTTGCTACCATATAAAGCCCAGATAGTTTAATACAGCATCTGCAGCCTGGCTTCCCCTTACTTTCCTGGTGCAGCCTCCCCCAACTCTGCCACCCTCCAGCCAAAGGGAACAATGAACACTTTGTCTTAGGTCTGACACTTTCGCATCTCTTGACCTTGTTTATTCTTTCTTGGGAGGCATGGAGGCTTTGGAATAAGATAAATCTGGGATTAAATTTTAACTTTCCCATTCTGTTGTTGTGTGACTGTGAGCAAATTACACAGCCTTTTGAGGTTTAGTTTCCCCATCTGCAAAATGAGAAAATATTAGGACCCACCTGCTTGCTTTAGGTTAAGTTTACAAGATAAATGATGTAAAGTACCCAGAATGGGGCCTGATTCTCAGTAAACACCGGAGATATATTTATTATTAGTAGTAGTTTTAATAGTAGATTTTTCTCCTCCTTCTCTATGTATTCAAATCATAACTATCCTACACAAATGTATCTATTTCTATGAGGCTCTCCTTCACTCTCTCTAAAACTCCCAGAAGTCCATCATTTTTCCCTTTTCTGAAGGCTCACAGCAAGGAAGTTGGTCTTCTCTTATCACTTTTCATTTCTGACCTTGTTTTGGAAAAATTGTTATATTTGGTATCACTTGTGTGAGCTCCTTGAAATAAGGACTGTCTTAGATATTTTTGCATCTTCTAAAGTAAGGATTCTCAGATCTAGATGATTATTATATGAATGATTATTATTAATCATCTGGGACATTAAAATATGATTTAAAATTAGAGATTTAGGCTAAGTAGATCTGAGGAATATGGATCATCACCACCCATATTCCCTCCAAATAGCTGATGGTAGGAGGAGATGTTCAATATATGTTTGTGGAATGAAAAATAGCTTGGTTCTATGCGTGTGAAACATTGGTGAGAAAGTTTCTATGTGGTGGCCAAGGTTTTCTCACTTCAGTTGTTTGGTTTCTGGCTGGTCTGTTGGGAGAGAAAGTTACGAGAATATAGATTGCCTGGCTTTTGCAAGTTCTGGCTAATGTTGCAAACTTCTACACCCTCCTCCTCTACCTTTTTGTTTTCTAATTTAATTCTTATTACTCAAAACTGTACTTCTCAAAATGCCTGACACACTGTATCTGCTTTATGTGCATTTGTGGAATTTAAACAGATGTAAGAGAGATACATTCTTAGCTGTGTCCTTTATAATCAGAAACGTTTCCACAGTATCTGTTTTATTTTCTCCCACTTTCCCCAGCCATTTAAGAAAAACAAAAAACAAAAACAAAAATACTCTACTGCTATTTATTTATTTATTTTTACTCACAACAAGGTTGCCCCTGCATGTTTTATTTCTGAGTTGGTACTTTGTTCCATTTGACCTTTGTTTTTCTTTTTGGGATTAAAGGGAAGGAAAAAAAAAAAAAGGAAATGCAATCAAGTTAGGCAATTCTGTCTCCCTCCTAGAATCACCTCTGGAAATTTCTTTATGTTGACCGTAATCTATTTTATTAATGGTTTCTAGAAAAGAAAAAAGCAAGCTGAAGGAGTTTCCTCACTCTTCCTCTGCTTTATCGCTACTTTCTTTTTTAAAAATGAATGCCTTAAAAAAGAAATTGAAAATCTAGACATTTGCATCATATAGATCTTGTTAGTTCAGAATATAGAACCTTTCCTGAATCCAGTATTTAAATCTTTTTTTACCTATTTGTAGAATATATCTATTTGTCCCCAAATTTCAAATAGGAGTTTGATTTCTTCCTGAAATGACTATTCTGAAAATGTTCTAATGGTTATTTCCTCTGAAGATGAGACTTTCTTCCCTTCTCAGAATAGAATCCAT